GTAGTCAAAAACCTCTACTTTTATAGCTCGTCTCTAGACTATCAAAGGTATCTGCGTATTCACACTCAATATGCAAAAGAACTGAGACAGACTGAAAATGCACTCCACAACTCCTTTCGAAAGGATGACCGGAACTTCCGCAGAGCGCTTGCGGAAGTTCCGCCGGGTCACCTGCGGGAGTTCCGTAAACGTGCTGCGGAAGTTCCGAAATGAGGTCCTGCGGAAGTTCCGAAGAATGCCAACCACAACAGCAAAAGAGAACACCGAAGCGAGATTTGAACCTCACTCTATTGACAGTGAGGCCCACCTACTATACGCTACGGCTGACATGTTCGATAATGCACTCTGGTTGCTGGCGAGGCAACATCACGAGACAAAACATTCAAAGCCGCGTAAGTTCTGGCAGGCCAAAGTACTGCGGAACCTCTGGCATTTTTCGGAATTTCCGCAGGATTTTGAAGAAAGTTCTGCGGAAGTTTCGGTTTTCAACCAGCTTGGCATGAAAATCCCGCAGAAGTTCCGATTTTCAACGCTTTCATTTTTGCAATGGTGAACAAAATCCTGCGGAACTGCTGCAAATTTGGCTTGTCCCGCGGAAGTTCCGGTGATTTGTCTGAGCATTTGCAGAGCCCTCTTGTAAAAGAAGTTACGAGCATTATTTTGAAGCGTACAATGAACGAATTTTCGGATAAAATTAGTCGTTACGGCCTTTCTAAACCTCACCTGGAGCAAAAGAAAGTACCGATCTTCTTTCTAATGAGCTGTAGGAAGTTTTCTGGCACTTGCCGCTGCTTTATTCAAAGTCTAGAAAAGCTGTAGCGATCGACCTTATCTTGGATAATTGTTCATTTTTTCATTCTTAATAAATGAGCATAACCCTTTCCTAAAAGCCCTGTGCGCATAGGGAAAGCAAAAATGGAACCAGCTCTTCAAGCTTTCGCTTACACAGTCGATAGGACCTCCGGGGAGCGGTCCAAATATGGAACATCTCCAAAGGACGCTCTTAAGGGTTGTTTCATACTGCCGCACTGACCGCAGCAGACTGCAGTTGACCGCACTGACCGCAACGGTCGCTCAGATTGCTGCGTTCTTTCGTAAAAGATGAAACAATTGGGATCAATTCAAAATAGCGCGATTTACGCCTAGGAAGTTCATAGGTCCTTATTAACTCTTCTCAATCAGTTTGGCTATTGTTCTTCTTTGGCATGCTCATATTTGTTCTGATCCCTCCTGTTATTGCTGATACTTTTTTTTCGATCTAAGCGTATATTGTTGTTGATTGCTTAAGCTACTAGCTATTAGCTTTATCCTCTCCACCCTTACGAAAGGATGCAGCGATCTGTGCGGCTGTTGCGGTCAGTGCGGTCAGCTGCTGTCAGCTGCGGTCTGCTGCAGTCAGCTGCGGTCAGTGCGGCAGTCTGACTAACCATTGAGGGGGCGGGGCGAGGGGCGGTCCACTTGTGATGACGCCATGTAGGAGCCAAAAACAATATCCACCGAAGAACTCGCAAGTCTGGGCTCCGGAGGTGTCCTAAGATTTGGGACATCTCCGGAGCACAGATTTGACGACATTGACGCTGATACGCAGCTCAGCATTTTCGAAATCACGCTGCCCTCGCTTTCGGACTTGCTCTTTTCTTCTCATTCTTTTACGCCCGTTTTTCTTTTTCTTCTTCGTGTTGCTATTCGGCGCTTGTGGCGTTTATGATGTTCCAAGTCTTCCTTTCAGATTTCAGATTTTAGGTTTTCGTGCGGATGCACTTTCAAACCATCATTTGTGGTTCCCATCTGGCTAACTATTGTAAAGTAACCTTTGTGTGGCCTGTTGCTGTCGATTATATAGAAAAATTTTCGAAATTTTTTGGCATTTCTCAACTACAAGACAATTTCATTGTCAATCAGGTGGATTGTGATTATTTGTTTTGATTTGGTTTTTTTGTTACTTATATTAGCTATAATTTTTCCATGAAACTATTTTGTAAACTTTTGCCTGTAAATAAAATTGTATCAGATGAGTTCCATCATGATTAAGCTTGCATGCTTTGGCTCAACTTTCATGGAAGGTTCAGAACTCAGTTATTAGTTTCTGAAAGATTAGCTCAAAAGCTATTCCGTGAGTTTATCGCCACGATGCTTTGATGCCTCGAATGTCTCACTGTTGCAGGACTGTAGATCCGGCCTTAGCTGGGAATACATCGACTGGAGCACGAATCTTGTTTAGAGCGTATCATATCCTATTCCTAGTTTTCCTTTTTTAGGAGAAATGAGCGGAATTCATGCAAGAAGCGTATAGTAAGTCCCGGATTTTTTATGGGCTGGAACACTCGTGAAATTTGACTGTAAGGGGGAATTTGCCGTTATGGGAAGTCCTTACCCCCTCTTGTAAAAGTTATATGATTATAACTGCGCGCCGCCTCGTCTCCGCCTTCTTGTGTATAGCGTATTGCTTGTGATACCCATAATTACATATTAATGTATGTCTAGCTACCTGCTCAAGATCGATACGTCGCTGACAGCTCTCTGGCTCTGCACTTGCACATTCCGTTCATAGCGTTGTTTTTACACCCCCATATGTGCCCGCGTGACGGGTGAAAATGGACTCGCCATTAGACCTACGCCGGAAAAAAACGAGTGAACATGCGCGATCGGGCGCGTGCCAAATCATGATGCGAGCCAGCGTCACCGTTCGCGACGACAGTTCAAATAATGTGATCTCTTGTTCATCCTGTCTTGAGTCATCGTGTTTTTTCTGTAGTCACGGACTGCTTAGGATTTTCAGTTCCGTTCCCAAGTCAGAGCAATATGTGACCAAGTATAAAGACCTACTGTATATCCACTTAACTTACTGTCGCCTAATTTGCAGTGTACTGCACACCATGCGCGGAGATCACGTCTTGTGTTCTTGCAAGTCGTCATTTTTGGAATATTTTGGCTTTTTTGAGCTGATTGAGAAAGCAAATATCTAGATTTGTAGTCACTTTTAGGGAGCTTGTTCCTCTGAAACGGTTCTGATGTGTCAACTTTTTAACGAGTTGTGGGGTGCCGTGCGTGTGTAGGTGCACATAAAGAGTTGCAATCGACAAGTATTAGTAATATTAGGCTTTTAAACAATCAAAAAAACTTTCCCAGATTCTACGAGCATTGTCCAGTTTCTTAATAGAGTTAGATCCTGATACCTTTTGTCTTCGCTTCATTTCTGAGCTCAAATACTCGGTTGACGCAAACCTAGGACTCCATCAGGGTTCCTATGCTTGTAATGACCATTTTTCTCCTTCATCTCCCATGAAAACTGCTTACCTTATAGCTTCCCACAAGACGTTTCGCTAACTAGAAAGTCACATTACCCGGAACTGGAGCTTGTTCTAAGAAACAATTGAAAGTCTGAGGTAGCGCTAGCATAGAGCAGCATGAAAATTTCATGAAATCAATGAAAATCGATCTCAAGGGCACTTATTTCATATCGGTTTAATACCATTGTACATCCACTTCACATAGTTATGTCTCATGTTTCGACCATGCGCCTTTGTCATGTTCCACATCCCTGCATGAAATTGAAAAGTCGACATATACCACGTAAAAGATTTGGGTATAGAGTTACGCCATTTCTTTCAGAGAAAAACCCTTTTAGTTTGGATAAGAGTGTTCGAGCCTGCACATTGGGTATTCTTTGAAGAGCTAATTATTTATTATATGGGTTGTCTGCGAGCAGAAGATAACTCTGAGCTTGCTCATTTTTTGTTTGGAGCACTTGCTATTGATCCTGTTCATTTAACGGAATCTCCAAAAAATCAGGAAGTAATCAAAATATTTGCCATGTTTCTCTAAGTCTGAATAACTTATGTTTGTCTTGAACAAACAGAGCTGCTTAAAGATGGTTATCTTGCTTTCTTAGCGTCAGAGTAAGTGGACAGAACCAATCCAGGCGCTATTCCACTTGTTGTATTAAGTGCTCTAAAGATCCGAGCTCTGTCGATGTATCCCCAGCGAAGGGCGGATCTACAGTCATGACCGAATTTTTGGACGGTGCAACGGAACTTCCGTGCAAACCTTATAATTGAGATGCGGTTCTTAGTTCCTTTTCAAAATTCTGTCTTTTCCATAAGCTTTACTTGGTTCCGAACGAAGTGATTCCATATGATTTGGATCTGCCGGTAAAATTCATCGTCTATTCCACCATCGAATTTCTAGTCTCCGCTGCCCAGCCTTTTTTGCTCATCTCAACATCTAAAGACCATCTACGAAGCTTGACTGACTTAACATTTGCCATTGGGACCCATTAGAGTAATATAATGTTATGATATTACTGCTACCAAGTTACCTCCTCCTAATTCAGTTCATGCTCGAGTGTATCCCTCGCTCCGCTCATCTAAACATGTGCTTTAAGTGCAATATTGTAAGGTCAGCTGTGATAAAGACGCTGTGAACTGCTCCTTATATCATTAGGTAATGCCCATGATCGATTTACCAAATGTGTTGAACATAAGATTCGTTGGAAGAAAGATGAAATGGACGCAAACCAGAACCATCATGTTGCTCAGGGACTACCCAGGGCGGTGTTGAGTTAATTTAAGTTGGGGCTTAGGGGCATAATTGGGGTTTGGAGCTTAATTAGGGCTAGTTACAGTCTGCCTTAGGGCTAGTTGGAATATTCCTCCGGAGCACAAAATGAGAGGGCTCCGGAGAACGAGTGGCGAACCCCCGCCGAAGAGACCCCGGTCACCTCCATTTTGCCCTCCGGAGGTATTCCATCGATTGTCTGAGCACTAACAGCATGAAATTTGTGATGATGGGCCACTTCGATCTCGTGATCCTCTCTTGTCAGAGGAGAGTTCCGCAGAAACGTAATGCAGATTTGAAAGCAGCGTTCAAAAATAATTTAGCCTATATGCATCTCATATATCTAAGGCCATTGAAAGTATTTCCCTTGCAAGTTTCTAAGTAAGCCAATTAGATAAGGCACTTTAGGTAGAAGGACGGATGTCCATAATGAGCGGGATTACGGCTACTGGTTCTTATAAACGTTACTGCACAACGTATGAGGACTAGTTTTCACAAAAGTATTGGGAAGTATGAATGATCCGCCAAAAATTTCTTTGTGGAAGAATTGTCGGGATGTGGTACAACCTCAAAGAAGATGTTTTAGCCGCAAACCACAGCCACAACGAGTATGCCCTTGCTTTTACCATAAAACGATTTCCAGTTCGGCGTTTGCCACCATTGCCGAGCTCTGTCGCAGTAAAGAAAAAAGGCGCGGGATTCTTTGATGAGAAGGTAATCCCTGCCTCATATTATGGCACCTATGCTCAAGCTTTAGTACAATCAATGACAGTATCATCTTGAACTTAGAAGATCGTTTTCCTCAGTGCATGTTGCTAACACATCCCAAAGTCTTCGCGTCTCTCGTAGTTTCTCTAAATCGGTGAAGCCGCCAACAAAGTTGCCGCAGATAAAGATCTGAAACACGAAAAATAGTGAAGAGATACGTGAATAAAAATTGTGTCTGTATGGCAGGCTATATAAAAAGTTCTGTAACCTTTATTTATTTTTTTTTCAGGAAACCCTGACCTTTGCAGACTAACAAACAAAGGCATAGCCGTTGAGTCGGACCCTAGAGATTATAAGGCAGAGAAGTAGAAAGATCCTAAGCTCAATCTGCCTGCCAGGTCCGCCCACCCACAACAGACGCTACCCCCCCCCACACCCTCCCTAAAAATATAGCCAAAAGTGAAGATTCCTGCTCACCCTTCCTCTTTGCTCTCTGATCCCTTCCAACTACCCTTCCCATGATTGAAGGTGAGAGCAGAGGTGCGACGAGGGGATCCGAGTTCCTACTATACTTTGGACCGAATCGAATGATTAATCGATTATTAGCATAAATCGAATGCGTATGATTCGAAAATTCGAATATTCGAAGATTTGGGATTCCGAATAATATTCGATAGTCGAATATTCGAGATTTATCATTTTCGAATATTATTCGACAGTCGAATCTTTGAAGGTCATCGATTCGGCATTCGATGTTCATCGAATACGACTATTAGATGAGCGCCGAATGCTCGATCGATAAGACTGACTATTTGAATGCGATGATCATCGAATCATGCAAAATTCGATTTGAACTGCATATAGACGGTCCCAAAAGTATCTAAATATCCACACATTGTTTGATTCCTATATTTCATTTAGGAAAGCTTTTGCCAACCTTCACGTTTCTGCAGGGTTAGCTTCAGCTTACATCTGCAGTGTGGGGTTATGGTAGCATATAGAGCCAGTGCGATATATGCCATTTGAAAAAAACTTCTCCAAAAACATCACGCTTCGCGAAACATTGAAAACATTTACTATGGTTTACTGGTCGACTTACGAAAAAGGGTTTGTTCTTCGGTTTCCTTTCGGCAAAATATGGACCTCATTGTCTCAAAACCCTTTCAGTTGCTCAGATAATCGCCGGCAGGAGCCCATGAGATTTTTGGGCAAGCGGCACCGGAAGAATAGTTCGCTGATTTCTTGCGTTCCGCTAGCAGAAATATAGAATAATGTTGACCAATTTTTAGACGAATGGTCGGAGAACTATCGCGGTTTTGCTGTAGATCAGTTGCGGCGCAGTGGCCGCATTCTCGCGGACTTTCCGCGAGAATATGCAAAATTATCGGGGACCGCGCGGTCCTTTGTGGAGTACCGCACAGCCCGTAGGTACCTTCCGCTAAGAAAAAGTAGAGTTGAGTAAACTCGGGTAATAAACCATCGATAACAACTCTGCCACATAGAGTCTCACTTTTGCTCGGCGGTCCAAGCGCCTGCTGAAAGCTTGGCCAGCGCTCGCTGAAAGAGATTATTTGACGACGCTTGCAGAAAATTTTGTATTGCTGCCCGCTTGCAGAACACGGAAGTGCCGCTCGCCGACGTTTGGCCACGCCCCAAAAATTTGCCGACCGCCTGCAGAAAAGCGCGAGTCTGCGGACCCGCTCAGACAATCGCTGGGGGCAGGCGGGCACCGGAAAAATAGATTGCTGATTTCTCGCACCCCGCTCGCGGATTTTTTGGAAAGCAATCAGGACTTTCCGGAAGACCGCTTGCTGAGTCAGCGGATTTTTGAGAGACCGCCTGTTGAGTTTTTTTTCGCTCTTATCTTTTGCAGATATATTGCGGATTCTTTGAGGAATCGAGAACTCAGTAAGCAGTCTTCCGAAAAGTCCTGATTGCTCTTCAAAAAATCCGCGAGCGGGGTGCGAGAGATCAGCAATCTATTTTTCCGGTGCCCGCCTGCCCCCGGCGATTGTCTGAGCGCCTGCCCCCGGCGATTATCTGATTAGTCCTATGGTAACCCTTGTAACACTGAATAGCGATCGAGAGGTCGCTTTGTAGTGAATCTAAGGAAGCCAGCACTAAAACGTACTCAGAGTTTGGCAAAAGACTTCGTGATTCAGTAATTTGAATACTTCTGTACAGTTTTGGGACCCCCTGTTATCATCTTACAACACTCAACAGGAGTATATCTAGGAGGGCCCCGTGCGCCAATCTGAATAGTATGCAAGACAGTCGTCGTTCTGTGTCGCAGTAGCTGCCTAATTTCACCTTATATATAAAGCTGAATGTGTGTCTGTAGGTATGCATGTATGTCTGCCTATCCGTATGTATGCTCCGAATAGAATCTTTTTCTCAAGTGATCCGGACCAAACTTGGCATACATACACTTCGGGGAGGGCAGCTGTCATAGACTACTTTCTATCATCAATCGATATCAGTTCACGAGATTTCATCGTCGCGATTCATCGCTACAAGACAAATGTTATGAGTTTATTGCATGCCGATCTTCTTGTATTTCTGTTGTGATAGTTAGTCACTATTAGTCGTGTTTGAAAACTATCACAACCGAAATGCGAGAAGATTGGCATGCAATGATATTGTTGCAGTTGCATTGTCGCGATCATTCGCGACGATCAAATCTCGTTAACTCTGTCCGAGGCCTAAATCATAGTCCTTTACATGTCAAGGAGATTCCAGCTATCATCAGCACCAGTGAAAATGGCAGCACCGGAACCCCTTGCCAAAAAACGTCAACGGGGGAGGGGGGGGGGAAGCAATGAAAGGTGATATATTCTAAGGCAATAATTTTAGGAATCCGCCGTCACCTACCCAAGCACCGGCTCAGATAATCGCCGGGGGCAGGCTTCGATGCGATTTATGAGCAGGCGGGCTCCCGAAAAATACTTCGCTGATTTCTTGCAGTCCGCTTGCAGATATTTGGAAGAATTTTGGCGAAATTTTAGACGAATACTCGGAGAACAATCGCGGCTTGTTTATAGAGTATTTGCAGCGCAATGGCCGCGATCTCGCGGACTTTCTGCGAGAACATGCGAAATCATTAACGGCCGCACGGTCCTTTGTGAAGGACTGCACAGCTCGTAGGTACCTTCCGCTAAGAGAAAGTACCCCAAACTCGGGTAATGAACCATCGACAACAATTCTGCCACATAGTCTCACTTTTGCTCGGCGTACGCCCAAAACTGCCTAAAAAAGAGTACGAGCGCGTGCTGAAAGTCTGGCCCGCGCTCGCTGAAAGAGATTATTCAACGAGCGCCTGCAGAAAATTTTGTATTGCTACCTGCTGGCCTAACACGGAAGTACCGCTCGCTGAAGGTTTGGCCACGCCCCAGTTTGCTGACCTTGCGCGAGTTTGCGGACCGCCTGCCCCCGACGATTATCTGAGCGAATACCATAACCGCCATGGACGTATCTACGCCTTTTCTACGACTTTGGAGAACAACTTTTTTAATGGTTCGATGACTCCAAGAAGTTTACCTAACCGTTCTCTTTAGACCCGACAACTCTAACCCGACGGTCTCCTCACGGTTGTGAGTATGACGAGTACAATCGCATGATATTTCGAATAAAGGTGTCAAATTTTGTATGAAAATGAACTACGACCCCAAAATTTTATCAAAAAATGTACAACTGTGAGAAAAAGTAGGTCGATCCAGGATTGACCGCCTGCAACGAAAATTTTGAATGACAGAATTGCGAAAAATCTCCCGTGAGATCGCACATTGGTGTATGGGGTATCAGCAACTGACTCCATAGGTTTTGAAGGGGAAGTGTTGCGTTTACCAGATACTGAAATAAGCAGATCGATCTAAAAGTTCATCGCCAAGATTACAGAAAAGTTGCGCCATATTTGATTGCTTAATGACAGCTAACACTTCAACTCGTACTCAGACAATGGCAGGGATACCTTCGGCGGGCAAATGGTGCGAGTCTGCCACCTCACGCTCCGGAGCTCTCCAGAGCGCGAATTGGCAGACTCGCGCCATTTGCCCGCCGAAGGTATCCCTTCGACTGTCTGAGTTCAAATCATAAGTGTGGAGGTGTATGATGTTCTGAGTTCATGAGTTTTGTAGAGTAAGGTTTGCTTTGTGAGCCAGACCCTTGAGAAAGTAGATGGAAAATTGGCTTCTATATTAGAGCAGCTCATAACATCTTCAGAACTTCTCGAATCCAATAGCCACTATAGAATAATCGCTACCTTTCAGATGGTTGTTGTCTTCAACGACTTATGCACGAAGAGGAGGCTTCTCTTCACGAAGCCTCCAACCCGTGCACCCCCAATGGCTTGACTGGAGGAGGCATCATCGTCATCGCTACATCACACACCTCCGCACTTCAAGCTGTAGGGTTGAAATGTCAACTGTCATCAAGCAATCGAAAATACGTTCTTTCTTTGAAATTCTGGTTTCCGGAGAACAACTCTCAGATCGAGCTGCTTGATTCACAGCCTTGTAGCGCAATACTTCTCCTTTAAAACCTATGGAGTTGCGTATACCTCCATAAATCAAATTTATACAAGTTGCAACTTCCTCTGGTTTTTTCGCAATCTATCATTTGAAATTCCGGTTCTCGGCGAGTACTTCCTAGATCGATCTACCTCATTCACAGTTCGTCATCAAAATTCAAGGAAACTTACAAGGTCGCATTGGGTTTCACTTTTACACAACATTTATTTATGCGGTTGAACTCATCGTATTCGTGCCCCCAAAGAGGGCCATTGGATTGAAGTTGTTGGCCCCAAAGTTGAATACCCATGATTCCGAATATCAAGTCGGAAACCGCGAAGGCCGCAAACCCCCCTTTTTTTCAAAACACCCGCAAAGCGATTTGTTCGGAACGGTGATTGTTGGGCGCGCACGGATGGGCGGGACGAACGTCACGCCACTCAAAGGGGAGGAACCAACGCGGCGAATTTGTTATCCGAGCGATTTTCGAAGCAATTTTCTCGCTACGAAAGTAACTTTTGCTAACGCGAGTCGGATAGGTATACAGTTGGGGGCCCACTAATGTTAGGCATCAAAATCTCACTGACCCCACTTTGGGTGGACAATGCCTTTAAAGCATCGAAAGGCGTCGAGAAGTTGTCCTCCAAAGTCGTAGGGGGGGGGGGGAAATGTCCATGACGGTGTTAGCCTTCAAGTGCTTGCAGCACTCAGATAATCGCCGGTGGCAGGCGGCCATGCGGCAGGCGAGCATCGGAAAAATAGCTTGCTGATTTTTTGAGGTTCGCTTGCAGATATTTGGAAGAATTTTGGCGAAATTCTAGACGAATTCTCGGAGAACAATTGCGGCTTTTTCATAGATTAGTTGCAGCGCAATGGCCGCATTCTCGCGGACCTTCCGCGAGAATATGCAATTTATTGAAGGCCGCCCGATCCTTCGTGGAGGACCGCGCAGTCCCCAGGTATAGGGGCCTGCAGGATCGCGAGAGTCGGACGTGCGTGCGGCCATTGCGCCGCGCACGTCTGATGTCACTAGGGCAGGTGCCAGATTCATCCGCTTCAACCGGTTCGTTCGGCTCATGGGTCAAATCACTGCATTGTCCATAGAAAAGGTGGTGAACCGAATGAACCTGTTGAACAGGATAAGTCTGGCACCTACCTGAGTCATCGGACGCGCATCTGACGTGCGCGGCGCAATGGCCGTACGCACGTCCGACTCTCGCGATCCTGCAGGCCCCTATACTTTCCGCTGAAGGAAAGTACCCCAAACTTGAGTAATTAAACCATCAATGACACCTCTGCCACATAGAGTCTCAACTTTGCTCGGCGTATGCCCGAAACTGCGTAAAAAGAGTCCGAGCGCTTGCTGAAAGTTTGGCCAGCGTTCGCTGAAAAAAAATTATTTGAAGAGCGCTCGCAGAAAATTTTTTACTGCTGCCCACTTGCAGAACACGGAAGTGCCGCTCGCTGACGTTCGGCCACCCCCAAAATTTTGCTGACCGCTCGGAAGCGCGAGTTTGCGGATCGCTGCCCCCAGCGATTATCTGAGAGTTGACAGTGAGCAGTCAATATAAATTTTGTTAGATACAAAAGTGAAGGTAATCACCCTCTACCAGCTCAAAAGTCAAGGTAGGGTGAGAATCCCCCCTTCCCTCCCCTCTATTGCACGTATCGGTGATGGTGATAGGAGGACTTGTTCATATTTGTAAATAATTGAAATAATTTTCAAAAACTTTTAATTGAACTTAGCCCTATAAGAAATTTTTTTGGAGGCGTGGCCAACGCCATGCACCTTAATCAAAATTTTTTGCCGCCCCCCCCCCAAACGGAAATCCTGCTTATGCCACTGAAACCCAGGTAAGCGAAAAATCCAAAGGATGACGATTTTTCAAGCCACTGCTTATAAGCACAGGAGTTTTGCCACCTAGAAAAACAGAATTTGGTTCACCTGCGGCATGGTTGTTTGATGAGTCATGTAGACCAGGCCATTGACCCGTGCTTGATAAGCATCGGGTGTATCTTCCTTTATTCGATCCACATTACAGTCCTTGTACCTGTTCAATAATATGGAATCACGAACGATAGAAAGAAGTAAAAGCTCCCGTATGCTCTCTTCTCACTCGATTCCCTCTTTGTTGAGCAGCTCCCTAGCTTTGGCGCAAAACCCACATCCGTCTTTAGTATAGATCACTACAGGTGTTGACTGCACCTGTAAATTGTGTTCTGTTTTAAGCACAGATACAAGATTGGTGACTAACCTCATGATGGATAACTTCCACGTCTACTTTCGACTTGACGGCACCCATGCTAAAATGACTGGGATCTGGTGAGATAAAGCAAGCTTGAAATGTCACATGAATTAAACAACCAAAAACATTTATGAAAGGATAATCGCTTTTTCTATATCCAAACATGTTCGCTCTGCCAGAGAATTGGTGCCTGTGAAGGTTTGAGCACGCGTCTTGCCATTCATATAATGACAAGCTAGAATGCGCAAGTTACCATCTTATATGTAAAGCTGAATGTGTGTTTGTCTGTATGTCTGTACGTATGTGCGGAATACAAATTTTTATTTCTGAACCGATTTGGACCAAACTTGGCACATATACACTTCGGGGCGGGGAGCGTGTCATAGGCTACTTTTCGTTATCGATCGATGTCGATTTTATCGATATTTTTTTTTGCAGAGTTCACCTACGGGGCTGGGAGTTGGCACAGGGGGTATGTGAGCATGGCGAATCCGAACACAATATTAATTTCAGAATTATCGACTACTTTTATCGATTTTATCGAATTTGAAATTTGAGCTGGAGAGCTGGGAGTTGGCACAGGGGGGTAAGTGGGCATGCTGATTTCGAAAACAACACAGGGAACGGGAAATAAAGTGTAGAAGTGGGCACAGGGAAAGGCTTTACAGGGATAGGGATGGGAACTTTATTTGGCAGGGCCGAGCGGAGCCGGGTAAGCAAGCTAGTCTTATACATGAAGCTGAATGTCTGTTTGTCTGTATGCCTGTAGGTATGTGCGAATAGAAAATTTTATTTCTGAACCGATTTGGACCAAACTTGGCACACAAACACTTCGGGGCAGGGAGCGTGTCATAGGCTACTTTTCGTCATCGATCGATATCGATTTTACCGATTTTTATCGATTTTTTGCAGAGTTCATCTACGGGGCTGGGGGTTGGCACAGGGGTAGTCGCGCATGCTGATTACGAATACAATATTAATTTCAGAATTATCGACTACTTTTATCGATTTTTTTTCATAATTTGAGCAGAAAGGCTGGGAGTTGGCACATAGGGGGGTAAGTGGGCATGCTGATTTCGAAAACAACACAGGAAACGGGAAATGATGTGTAGAAGTGGGCACAGGGAAAGGCTGTACAGGGGTAGGGATGGGACCCTTATTACTGTTTTGACAGGGCCGGGCGGAGCCGGGTAACAGCCAGTCAAATATAAATTACCAGTGCGTCACCTCTGCTTCGCAGAGGCTCGCACTGGCCCTACTTTCTGTATGCTTCACTCATTCCCGCACAAAAGTGACAATGAAACTCACCGCGCTATGCCAACTATCACGAATGATCTGTAAACAACTATTCATTCTAAAAGCTTTTCCATATGAGATCGGTAATTTCGCTTAAGTGAAACTTCTCCCAAAGGAACAAATGCTGATTTGAATCGGTTTTTGGAGTTTTCATGGCTTGGAATTTGCCATAAGATTCCATGTCACCGTGGGCTACATCACTGTGCAAGAATCTTTTCAAATGATCGGGTAAAATCTTGGCAAACTGAACACTTACGCAACCAAATCTTTTCGGCGCCGTTTTTGCAAATTAGTAAACTTTAGTTCAATTTTTTGAGCTAAAGTCCATCGTTTGCACATTAACTTGTCAAACGATCCGTGACCTTGCAAAAAGTTGTGCTACAGGCTCAATTTTACTGACCAAAAGTCAAGTGGATCCGATTGACGCGTATTTTTTTTTGAAAAATCCACACAACGGATCCGCTCATGCTTTTGTACAGTGGACTCCCATGTAAGTAGCATGCTCTGTGCAAAATTTGGGCTCAAGAAATTTATTGGAACTCGCTCATGAACCTCGTGACAGACAGAGATTCAGACACACGCACACACACGCACACACACACACACACACACACACACACACACACACACACACACACACACACACACACACACACACACACACACACACACACACACACACACACACACACACACACACACACACACACACACACACACACACACACACACACACACACACACACACACACACACACACACACACACACACACACACACACACACACACACACACACACACACACACACACACACACACACACACACACACACACACACACACACACACACACACACACACACACACACACACACACACACACACACACACACACACACACACACACACACACACACGCACACACACGCACACACACACACACACACACACACACACACACACACACACACACACACACACACACACACACACACACACACAAACGTAAACAACCCTTAGCCCGTTATTATAAGTTATGATGGGATACATACAGTCGTCGTCATACCCCCCCCCCCTCCCTTCCCACTAGATACCTATTCAGATAATCGCCGGGGGCAGTCCGGTCCGCAAACTCGCGCCTTTCTGCAAGCGGTCAGCAGAATTTTGGGGCGTGACCAAACCTTCAATGGGCGGTACTTCCTTTACTGTCTAATGTTCTGCCAGCGAACAGCAACACAGAATATTCTGCAGGCGCTCGTCAAATAATCTTTCAGTGAGCGCTGATCAAATTTTTAGCTGGCGCTCGAACGGTTTTTAAGCAGTTTCGGGCGTACGCCGAGCAAAGGTGAGACTCTACCTGGCAGAAGTGTCTCGATGGTTCAGTTACTCAAGTTTGAGGTACTTTCTCTCAGCGAAAAGTACCTGAGGGCTGCGCGGTCCTCACAAAAGACCGTGCGGCCCTCGAAAATTTTTGCATATTCTCGCGGAAAGTGAATGCAGCCACTCCGCCGCAGCTAATCTATAGGAAACCGCGATTGTTCTCCAAGCATTCGTCCGGAATTTCGCTAGAATTATTCCAAATACCTGCAAGCGGACCGCAAGAAATCAGCGAACTATTTTTCCGCTACCCGCCCGCCCATAAATCTCATGGCCGCCTGCCCCCGGCGATTATCTGAGTAGCGGAGGAATTTGCGTTTAAACTAGAGCACGCCGGTGCTGGAGAGCGCGGCACTTCCAGCCCATAGTTCAGTTCACAGAGGTGAGAACGACTCCTCTAAGGTGAAGAGGTCACAGTGGTCGCAACCTCTCCAGAGTGAAGGGTGTTTCACTTGGTAGAGAAATTATAAAATGTCGACGGGAAGGGGGGGGGGAGCCATGGTATTTTCTCAACAGTTTTCCTAGTCAAAGTTCATAATTTATTCCTGACTATCACTGGTTATCTTTTTTCTGAACTGTGAACCGAAAGCTGCTGGATTAGCACATTATATGTCTGACCAGCACCTTGCATTTTTTAAACATTTCCTTTTCTTTTTTTACATCACCCTACCTGTTTTTGGAATTAACATAGCATGCTATAACACTTGTTTCGGAAAGGGTTAGACAATTTTCAAACATTTACGAATTTTTTTTAAGAAGAAATTCATAATTTCTGTAGATAAACAGCAACGTCAGCAAGCGAAATGTGATTAAGACTACCTTGTCTTCCGCTTTCAAAGAATATATAGTTTGCCTGGAGTCTGTTGAGAAAGTGCTTGGTGAAGTGTGGGTAGTGATTTCTGGATTTTTACGAGTTTTTAAGATGAAAAAATCCGTAACTTCTGAAGATGAACATCTTGTACGCCACGATGGTCACCATAGAAACCTTCTCATCCTCCGCTTTCAGTAAATATATACTTTGCCTGGGGTCCATTACAAAAAGTGCCGGGTGAAGGGTGGGTGAGACTTTTATAATGGGGGTGCTCAAGTAGACGTCTTTTTACAATGGTAAAAAAGCCTGTACTTGAGCACTCCCATTATAAAAGTCTCGCCCACCCTTCTCCCGGCACTTTTTCTAACGGACCCCAGGCAAAGTGTATATTTTCTGAAAGCGGAGGACGAGAGTTTCAATGGTGATCATCATGGCGTACAAGATGTTCGTTCATCTACAAAAGTTATGAATTTTTTTATGTTGAAAACTCGAAAATCTCCAAAAATCACTAGGACACCCTTCACTCAGGCACTTTTTAATGGACTCTAGGCAAAGTGTATATTTTCTGAAAGCGGAGGACGAGACGGTTCCAGTGGTGACCATTTCGCCGTAAAAGATGTTCCTACAAAAGTTATGAATTTTTTTATGTTAAAAACTCCAAAATGTCCAGAAATCACTACTCACACCCGTCACCAAGCACTTTTTTCAACAGACTCCTCCATTCCTGTACATAAACAATTCACGTACAAATAGCTCCTTTTCTTAACCTTACCTCACTGTTGATTTTTTTCTCGGCTTTTGGTGAAGGGGGTCACCTTGGTCCCGGCTCAGGGGTGAAGAGGAAGTGAAAAAATTCTCACACTATCGCACCTGTGCAGTTTCAAAGAGATTTTTTGTGCTTTTCCGATTTTATAACTATTTTTTAAATGTGGACAGTCTTCTTAATTGAGATTGTTCTCAGATAATTGGCGGGGGCGGGCGGTCCGCAAACCGCGCTTTTCTGCAGGCGGCCAGCAGAATTTTGGGGCGGGGCCAAACCTTCAGCTGGCGGCACTTCCTTTAGGTCGCATATTCTCTCAGATAATCGCCGGGGGCAGGCGGTCCGCAAACTCGCGCTTTTCTGCAGGCGGTCAGCAGGATTTCGGGGCGTGGCCAAATCTTCAGCGGGCGGTATTTGCGTTTTTTGCAAGCGGGCATCAATACAAAATTTTCTGCAAGCGCTCGTCAAACAATCTCTTTCAGCGAGCGCTGGCCAAACTTTCAGCAGACGCTCAGACTCTTTTTACGCGGTTTCGGGCGTACGCCGAGAAAAGATGAGACTCTATGTGGCAGAGGTGCCGTTGATGGTTTTATTACCCAAGTTTGGGGTACTTTCTTTCAGCGGAAAGTACCTGAGGGCTGTGCGGTCCTCCACAAAGAACCGTACGGCCCTCGAAAATTTCGCATATTTTAGCGGTCCGCGACTGTATCGCAGCTAATCTATACAACCGCAATTGTTCTCCGTTATTCGTCCACAATTTCGCCAACATTCTTCCAAACATCTGCAAGCGGAATGCAAGAAATCAGCGAACCA